CGGAGAGCTTGTGCTTCCACCCACAAAAGACAAAGGCACCAGGAAGGAGCAGCAGAGCTCTGTATCCTCATATCCATTATAAAGCAGGGCTGGAAATTCAGTTAAATCCTTCCTAGGCTGGAAGGCTGACAAGACATGGCTTAGAGGCTGACATTCAAACAGTTGAGAATAAAAAGGACTGTTTAAACCACATGGTAGCACCTATTTTGGAGGAAAAGGTTGTTAGTCAAGACTCAACATTTCTCCATCTTCCAAAGACCTCACAAAAACAATCATGGACATTCCACTGGAAGAGAAACAGGCTTGAAAGAGGAAAGCCAAAAGGTCAGAATTCTTACTGTCTGCAAGGTTGCAGAGAACAGAATGAAACCATCCCCTAAAATAAAACACAAATCACAGTCAGAAAAGCTAGTTTAGGATCTGGCAACCACCACTAGATTTCCACTAGGAGAGCAGAAGGACCACTCCTGATTTGCAGTTTTAAAGCAAAACGTTGCATTTTAAGCAGGAAGAAGTAAGACCTCCCAACAGGTTGAGACACATCACTCTTATTTCCTTGAGGTAAGACTGTCATGGAAAGGCAACTTAGTTTAGATGGGGCTGCTTGGTCTTCAGCCTCAGTGACCTGCCAGAGCAGAACTGAGAAGCACTTAAACGTTTAAAGGAGATTGAAGTTGTTTTGTCCCCTCAGCTGCACTGCAGAGCAACATGAGCAGATCCACAGCAGCACTCACAGCTCAAGCACTATACACTCACTTTCCCTTTTTCTTCCCCTCTACCCATCTCATCTTCTGCTCTGCAGGAGGCTGAGCTTATGCTGATCATTACCTGCCATCTCATTTTGCTCTAACCCAGTCTGCTTGGGTCAGGACTCAACACTGATTACCTACTAACCCAAATTCTCAATCCTGGGCAAGTCTCCAGGGATTGCACCTTCTAAACGTCTCCACTTCTCTCAGCTGTTTGGACTAGCTCTGAACCTCCATCTCATGTTCTCTTGGACTAACTAGTGCAAACCTACCAAATACAGTCAGTCTCTTACCATCAAACTGGTACTGAATGATGTTGTTGAAAACTTCTAGCAAGAAGAAAACAAGATGATGGTTCTGGACAGCAGAGAACAGGAACCAGGTGGTGGAAAAAGCCTCCAGGAGATGCAGTAACTTGTTGGCAGCCACCATGGAGAGAGACTTCAAGTATGGAGACACTATGTAAGGCAAAGAAGTGAAAACTGGAGAAAGACCCAAGATGTATTTATTCCCATAAAAACACCACTAAAAATGTTGCTTTTACTACCCTACACTTCTGGGAAAGCCTCAGAATAGCTGAGCCCAGAGTTCCACAGAAACGTCTCCAAATATAGAAGTTCAGAGATATTGCCTAGTAAAAGCAGGCATTTCTGCTTTTAGAGGGTCTTGTGCAGTTTTACACTGGTAACATCATCTCTGGAGCGTCTCTTGAAAAGTTTACATGACTGGAGCTACCCGGACACTCACCAAGCCCAAGGGAAGTCACTGTGGGGAAGTGGCACTCCCTGCTGGAGAGGGACAGCACTGCCAACCACCCCCACCAGGCCTTCTGGCAAATGCCCTTCTGCCACCCGAGGGGCTCTGGGGACTCTGCCCCACCTGGCTGAGCCCATCCAGGCAACAACCCCACAGGCAGGTCTGATCTGCTCCTGGCACATCCAGCACAGACTGGAAAGGATTGTTCCCAGCAGGAGCTGCTGACACTGGTCAATGATAGGGGGCACAAACAGGAGGGAGAGCAGCCAGAGCTGCCCCCTGTGGGCTGCACACCCCCATGCACAGTGCTTACCATTCACCACGATGGTGAGCAGGCAGTCAAAGAGAGGCTGCAGCCGCTGGTGCCCGCTGGTTATGATCTTGTGAAAGACCTAGAGCAAGGAAGGAGCTCTTGAGCAAGGCAGGACCTTACTGAAAGCACCCTCCCAACCAAAACCAGTACCACCCCCACACTAATCACTTCCTGACACCATTCCTTCCCAGACAGGGCCCTGCACACACCACAGTCAGCCAGGCAGGGAACGCTGCCCTCACTGCAGACTTGTGCTCCAGGGGTACAAGTTTTCATTCAAAGGAATCTTTTGGGGACAGGATTAGGGCTCCACAACACTGAAACAGAACCTGAGTTGTTCCAAAACACACAGGCAGCCTGAAACAAAAATAAGTGACCAGGGAGTAAGAAACACATTCCTCTCCACAGATTTTGACTCAGAATCCTGATGAGAGCTTGAAAAGCCACAGAACTAATTGTTACACATTTGGTTTCAGTGCAAGCTTCTCACTCAAATGTCTGTCCTGTTTTTCATAGCTATGCCCTCAGACATGGAAAGATTCAACAGCCTTGCAACCAGTTCACACATTCTCAATATTGACCTTCCCACCTCTAGCTGGCATGCCTGAGGAGTTGACCTAAGAGTCATGAAAATAAAGAGACTATCTAAAATTGACAGAATGTAGTATCAAAACACATAGGATCAAGAATGGTTCTGGTGGGCACATTTCTTCCTACTCCTTCTAGTGGGCATCTTTTTCTGGAGGTTTATTAGAAGCTGCTGAGAAACTCTCCTCTGGCAAACAAGCACAAACATGCCAGGAGGGTACCACCCCAGGCTGGCACTGCAAAGCACACAGCTGCTCGTGGGCAGTGTTGTGGCCCTCAGCACTACAGACAGAGATGAATGAAACCCTGCAGCAACCCAAAGCTGCAGGGCTGAGCTCAGTATCACTGGTGTTCCCGTTATGACAGCCATGCTCCACACATCTCTGGTTACTTGGGGCAGAGCCAGCAATGCAGTCAGATCTCCTGCCTTTCCCATCTGCAATCAAGTCTGGTACAGACCATGCACCAATCCCACTCATGTCAGTCCAGAAGTCTTTTAGACACCAGACCAATGCCATCAGGATCCTGTTCTTTGGGATCATTTTGTGCAGATGAAATTGCACCTCATGCAGATGCACCCTGCCACAAACATCACCTCAAGTTAGCAACATGCCAAGATCCCACCAGTGCTTGGATGCATGCCACACACTCTCCAGCTACTCAGTGGGCTGGTGAGCTAGGAGAGACAAGTATATTGAAGAAGGAAGGAGGACAATTATTTGTGGAGGCATGACACAGGAGTTAGGGGGGAAAGAAAAGAGCTGCTGAAGCTATACTCACTATGATGAGCAGATCTGCATGTGTCCCTGTGAAGACAGGGATGTCCATAGGCACTCGGACAGAATACGGCTTGTTCAGTCGAACCCCAAAGTTACGCTCCCCACTGAGAAGCAGGAGGATAAAGACCCCGATGTGCATCAAGCCCACTCGTGCTGCAGGGAAAGCAACAACCAAAAAACCCTCAAACATCACAGCAAGGCCAGTGGACTTCTGAAAACAGAAGGGAAGTGAGGAAGGAGGAGAAATACTATGGAACTGCACAGGCCAGACCATCCTGACAAGGGACATTCCACACAGAGCTCCCTCTGCTGCCAGTCCTTCCCAAATACATCCAAGGGGCCAGGACAATGTTAAGTCTTGGGCAGATCATGCTTTTCCTCAATATGCTCTTGAGGTAAACCCATCACTGGAGTAGAAAAGACCTGACTTCTTCTTTCCACTCTCCAATGATGGAGCTATGCCTGATTTATACCCAAGGCAAGAGCCAACTGCTCATTTCTCCCTCTTCATGGCATCAGGGACAGTTTTTGACTAGAGGATTCAAAACAAGTTGACACACGCCAAGAACCTCCCTTCCTTGTCTTGTGGTATAAATTACATCCTGCTTCTAGTCTGTTACAAACATTAACACCCAGGTAACTGAACCATTCCACTCTTGCAGAAGGCCAGGAACAGACACTTGAGATGCTATCACATCTCAGTGGTAGGGAGGAAGCACCTTTGTAACATTCCAGTTCAACTGTCAAGAACAGATTGTCCCAAATATCAAAATTAACCAACTTACACTGGTCTGCTCTGGCATCATTGAGAAAATACAAGATTGGGACAAGGATGTCCAGAACATCACTGCTCTTCAGCACAAAGAAGAGGAATTTCTGAAAGAAAGGGGAGGATTTCAGACAATCATAAGAACATTTGTTTTTCCACACCATTTGCAGGACTCAGGCCAGGTAGCCTCACGCTAATTAGTCTCTCAAGAATGTCGGACAGGCTGGTGGATGCACCAGCTCTTCAACTCCAGTGTTATTTGTGGAGCTACTGTAACACCTGCTCCTGCATTTCCCTGAAGCACTGACCTTCAGGAGGTGCAGCCTCTCTCACAAACCCTCCCTGGAGACAGACCCCACCACCCCACCCAGCAGGGAGTAGTGCTGCTGCCCAGAGTACCACAGAGTCAATGCCAACCACCTGCCCACAGCTCAGTTCAGCCAGAGCCACACCAGGGCCTGGGCAACAAGCAAGGTGTGGCAAAGCTCAACATAAAGCAGATCCACACCTTGTTGAAGTCACAAAGTTTCCAGAAGAGCACAAGGAGTTCCTGATGGAATTGGATCTTCTTGGCAGAGTTTGGCAGGTAGGTCTGGACCAGCGGGTTGGATAACAAGCGGGCCACTCCTTTCAGGATGAACTGGAAATCCTGCCAACAGACCAGGAAAGAGATTGTGGTGGGCCCAGGGCTAATGCAACCAGGATGAAATCAAACAGGAAACAGCTCAGGACAGGAGCACGTTACCTCCTCACGGTGTATTCTTGAGAGGTAATTCACAAAGAGATTGTCTGGTCCAGGAGGCTGCATTCAAAGACAAGGAGAGAAAAGGCTTTCTGGCAACATGGCAACTCAGGAAATCAAAGTGAAACCACTGGCTCTGGGGGCTAAGATCTCTCATTTCAGTTTTCTTCTCTCCAGTTTTCAAGGCTAGGAGACAAGAGCACCTCAGGGAAGAGTAGAGCCAGGGGCTTTTCACTTACATGCTCCTGACCTAAGCCAGTGACCAGACCCTAGTGGTTTGGTCATCTACAGCTGTTCAGTGACCTACAGGAAAGAAGCAGAACTGGGCCAGAGACAGCAGAATTCAAGGAGAGGAGTGGTGCTGGGCCCTACAGGTCAACATTCAACGTAAGTTGGTGTAAGAGGACCACAGGGAATTCCGGAGAGCAGCAGATAAGAGCTCCCAGTGTCACTCACATCCACATCATCCATGGCTGTGCCAGTGGTCGTGCCATCCACAGTGGGACTCGAACTGGTGGAGCTGTCATAGTCCAAAGTGACAATCAGGACCTGGGCTGCCTCCTCCACCAGGGGCTCACGGTAGTCAGAGAAAAGCAGGTGATTGTAAGGAATCCCATAACCCACCGGGTCGTAGGCACAGACAACGTTCAGGAGCGAGGTGAAGAGCGGGAGCGCGTGTCTGGAGAGGAGAAGACATTCTCAGGAGGCAGAAAGAAGCAGTAGGTGCTGCCTTGGAGAAGAACAGGAATCCCTCCCTCCAGGAGTTTGGGGTCGTGACAAAACACCAGTATCTTCTCTAGCCTACAAGAGCAGCTCACGACTGAGCAGCCCAGAGACAAAAGCTGACACTTCAGCTCCCAGCTGGTGTCCTAGACTACAGCTGAGAGGGAAAGGGAGGTGAGGAGCCTCCCAGAGGAATCCCGAGCAGCAACGTGAAACTGGGGACAGGACCTCAACGCTCTCGAGATTCTGGGGAGACAGAATAGCCTGTCTTCAGCCACGTGAGAAACTGTCACCCAAGGAGCTGCAAGTGCCAGTGAGCCAGTGTCACTAGAGGGCAGCATCCACCCGCCACCCACACCACAAGCCACACTCATCCCCACCAGCGTCTGCAGCAGGGAGCAGGACCTGCCATTTCCCACAGGACACCAAACTCTAGTGAGCACTGTTTTCACTCCTTTTGCTGCTGAGGAACAGCTCTCACTAAGCAGAGATGCTCATTGGGCGTACGTAGGACTGGGACAGATTAAAAGGACAACAGCCCCTGGATGTTGGAGGTAGCAAATCCTATTGCCTCCATTGCCAACACACACCATGGAAGAGATGTGAAGGCATTGCTCCCCCTGACAGCCACTGCTCCACCCTTCACCCTCACCTGTTCTCTGTAGAGCAGAAGAACTGCACCCAGGGGTTGGCATTGCTGCTGTCTGAGGAGGGGGGCAGATACATGGCCTCAGAGAAACAGGTCAGCAGCAGCTTAAGCAGCTCTGTCCTGAAAGAAGGGAACAAGTCAAGGCCTGAAGTCATTCAGGAGAAGGGACTGGGCATAGAAGGCACAAGCACTTACCACAACACCACACAAGTCCTATCTAAAAAGTCATCCCCACAGAAGCTAAGCCCACTTCACTTGACAGGCAGCCCTGCTGTCACTGGCACAAAGCTCAGCACAATTGCTGCCTTATGAAAAAGAAATGCACTACAGAGCTCCCGGGCATTTTCAAAGCAACAGTGTTTTGCCACTTCATATAATACTACAAAAAGCTGTTCAAAAGGACAGCTGTGATGTTTTTTTTTCCTGAGTTGCCAGTCCTGTCAGCTCAGAAAGGAACAAGGAGAAAGCCCTTTAGGAATCAACAGACACCCAAGGAGACAAGGAAAGCCCACCTCCCTCATATCCCCTATCCCTAAAACCTAGTTTCTTCCCATTCTGCCTTTGCAGACCCTCTTACCTATTCAAGTCATGGATGTAGTTAGGCTGTGGAGAATGAGCAAAGCCCACTCCTGCCTCCCAGATGTACTCACAGCTGTCAATGGAGTGGATATCTTCTGCTGTGTCCTGTGGGAGGAATAAGAGGTTGGGCCACAGAATGCAAGAGCCAGAGTTGACAGAGCCAGCAGTACCCAAGGCAGTTCAGCCCTCCTCTCCAGCAGTAGCAAAGAAACCAGCAGAAAAGCATCCAAAAACTAAGACCACACCTACCAGCCCCACCCAGGGAGCACCACTGACAGAGGAACCTCTGATCTTCAACAGGTACGAAGTACCACGCAGAATGAGGCCCTTCGTCTAGCATGCTAAGCTGCAATGCCAGCCACCTCCACTGGAAGTCTCACCCAAAGCCAAAGGATCCAAAATGCATTCTGCTCTCATTACTGGATGCATCACCATCACCTCTCCATTCCTCCTTTCTGATTAATCAGCCCAGGTCAGGGCTTCCCCTTGGCAGTTTGAGAGCACCTCACAGGGTTCAGTCCTGGTCAACACCTCAACTCTACCTCAGAGCACCTGGTGCTGAGTTTACCCACATAACAGTGACTCCCAGAGGCAGGAGAAGCAGGACACTGACCCTCACTGACAACCAAAGCAGAGATGGGTATGACTTGCTTTTCAGAGGGTAAAGCAAAAAGGTGACTGCAAAAACCACCCCCAGTCCCTTGACAGCTGCTGGCATGATTCCCAAACTCTTGCTTTGCAGCCTGAGGAGATGAACCACAGCAGTTTTCCTCTTTGCAGCTTTGCAGAGACAAACCTGCCAACCTTGCAAGAATGACCAGGAGCAAGTGCTCAGGTGTTTGCACTTGGCACACTTTTGCTGTCTCTTTTCTGGGGTTTGATTAACCCAAGTCTACCACCTTTGTTTCCTTCCTGCACTTAGGGAAAGCAGATCAGAGGATTGCCCTTCCATGAAGGCACTGATCTCAGGATTTCAGGGCTTGAGGGCAACCAACATGCAGTTACCACCCCAGCCATGACTCCCATAAAACCAACACATTGACAGCACCTACTGCTGACACAGGAGCAACTGCAGTTTCTTCCACAGTCCAGATTTTCCTGCCCTGCTACTCACTTCCTACAGATATGCTGAAGCTCACCTGCTGTCATGTTTCTCACTAAGCTCCTTGGAACAACTCTTGATGCAACTTGAGAGCTCAGGACCTCCCTCCACAACCTAACCTTTAACATCTCCTGCCAGGCACAGGCTTCATAAGAAGAAATGCAATTGCACCCACAAACCTGCTTCTACCAGGTGTAACTAAGCAGGAATTATCAGCCATTGTTATAGCAGCTCCTCAGGTCTAAAAAAGCAAGTGCTGATGTAATCAAAGAGCAAAGCCTTTGCAAATAAGTGATAAAACAGAGGTGCAGGCACTGGGCATGACAGAGGGATCCCAGTTTCTAGCTATACCAAAAAGGAGGGCTGTCCCATTTCCATTAATATCTACAAAAAATACCACAGAATCATTGGTGGGGAGAGAGAAAGAGAGGGAGTGAGGGGGGGAGGTGCACCAGAATCTGCCCTTAGCACACATGGTAGGACATCCCTGTGCCAGGGAGCTCCTCTGAAGTATAGACAGTCACCACAAAGATCAGAACACATTTGTCTTCAGTACAATAATACAAAGAGGGAGAGGAGGTGGAAAGGAAACAGAACATCTACTCATTCACATCACAGCATCTGCAACCAGATGGTTCCTGCCCCAGGCTGCACCAAATTACTGGTGAAAGGAACAAGGTACTAAAGGCCTCTGGTCTGATGGCAACAACAGAAGAGCAGTTCTTTGCCTGCACAGCCACATTTTCCTGACCTGTAGTGCAGGGATAAGCACCCACCTGTCTCAGAATATCTGTTTCAGAAGGCACAAACACCACACAGTGAACCCAAGATGTTGATCAGTTACTTTGGGTTCAAGCTCAGTGAGTCAGTATTTTCCTGCCTGCAGGTTTGCAGGAAGCTGCTGGGGTCTTCCAGGGTGTTTCCCACCATGCAGCCAATCTACCTGTATGCAGACCCTCTCATGGTTCAGCTTACCACTGTGCTCCTCCGGTGGCTCTGCACAGTGAAATCAGGACAGAAGAGCAGATCTGCAACAGCAAGGAGCAATGACTCTGCCAGGGGCCGGGCATTGTCATCATCTTCATCTCCCTAAAAGCAACAAACATGGAAGAGCATTGTCAGCCTAGGGTGAGCAAAGAGGACACAGTAACACTGGTACAGCACAGCAAGTGCTTCCCAAGAACAGACAGGTGGTCAAGAAGTTATGAAGGAATAAGAGAAACACACCAAACCCACCCAGCAGAGGAAAGAAATTACCCCCTAGAAGGTGATGACTAAATAGAAACAAGCTCTTTAATGTCACCAAACTGAGCAGACAAAGGCCTACAGATGTTGTGGAAACAGAGGAGTAGCACTGGACCTTGTCATGAGGGGATGCTCGACTTAAAGACAACAGGAAAGGGAACCAGTTACAGAGAAGAGGGTGATTTGGATGGTGCAGAGAGGCAGCAGTGGGAACCAGGCAACCAGTTGTGTTAAGGTGTAAAACCCTTTCAAAGTCCTGCATGGACTGCCCAGAACTGGAGGTGACAGAACCAGCATGTACTACAGCAGGCTGCCTTAGCCTGCCATAGCAGGGCAAGCATGGCAGCAGAGGGGATTTTGGTCTCCAGCATTCAAAGCAATCAGTGGGATCATGCATGGCTGCTCCTCTGCAGCCATTGTCAAGGGAAACCTTGCCAGACGCTGCCTGTCAAAGAACATCCTGGATGGGAGGCCTTCCCCACAACACACTGGTGCTGGAGGGAAAGGCAGGGAACAGGAATGGCAGGAGCTTATCTACCTCAGCCAGGCCTCTGTCAGCCTGGTCATGACACAGCTCTTAAATCACAGCAGGCAGGGAAGGGAGATAATGGCCTGTGTGGCTCTGCGACAGCAGAAAGACAACGGTGCAAAAGATCCCAGATGGATGGAGCCAGCACAGCAAAGATGTTTTTACTTGGGCTCACAGGCAGAGATGAAACGACAAGCATTAGTGCCCAAGGAGATTTCTTTTCCAAGAATGACCTTTGCTAATATCACCTTGGCTGCCAGAGAAAAGTCCCTGCAGGCTCTGGGTACCACCACACCCAAAGTGGGTGACACACAACAAAAACAGATCTGTCCCTTAGAGGAGGGAGGCACCCATGCTCCAGGAACTCTGCCACCCTACACTGCAACATGAAGCTGGCACAGAATCATGGCAGAGATATTTACTAATGGTCCAGGTCCATCATCTTTCCCTTCAGTTCCCAGGGAAAAAAAAATCAGCCTGCAGACAACAAAGCTGTTGCCCCTAGGTTAGGTGTGACCCCAGCTTCCCTAACATCTCAAGGCTTTGTTTATCATCCCCTACCAGGCACTCAGCCAACCCTACAGCTGCTTCTGCATATGGTTAATGTGGAGCACCCTGGACCCAACAGCTCCCCTGGCATTCAGCAGGCACAATGCAGCAGGAGGGTCCTGGGCTCATGCACTGGGTTCGATCACCTTAAGGTGACCCTACCACTCTTAGGCTGAGAAACTCCCTCTTCCAGGTGCTGAACAATGTGGAAAAACTGCAGTAACAGCAGTCTGGCTGGATCAGAGCACCAGACACCCTGCATGTTCTTTCCCAAATCAAGCTCCTCCATTACTAAGCCTCTCCAGCACTCCCTGGCCCCTGCAGAGATGAAAACATGAACAACCACCACCCTCCCAATCCCATAGATCACAGGTAGCAAAGACTTCCCTTTCCACCACCCAGAACTTCCCCTTGAAGTGGCCTCAGGCAAAACAGATTAGAGGTGACAGGCAGAGACAGCACAAGGTTTGTCCTGTACCAACCACTGCTGATCCTTTATCACCTTCCCCACAATCACTGTAGTGCATTTGACAGGCAGGAGAAACACCCTTCAGCACAGCCACAGTGAGCTACAGCTCCAGGAAATCACAGGAGAGTCCTCTCTATGCACAGAAAAGGCAGCTGCAGAGGGATTAGCAGGCAAATTCCTGCTCTAACTCAACTATCTTTCCAACGCTATTTCAACACTCACCCTGATCCTCTGAGAGACACAGAAGAGCACTACTGTGTCTGATCTCCAGACAAAGAGTAGGGAGGTTGAAAAACCCACCTGAGGTTAAACACATCACTGACAGAGCCAGAAACAGTACCTAATTCTTTAACCACTCTTGCTCAGTTGTGAGCTTTACCTGTCAGGCTAGAGCACTGGTTAAAACTATGACCTTCAGTTTCAACCAAGGTATTGAATCATGATGCTTGAGAGCTTCTCTGGCACCATTTGCTTTAAATGTGACACAGTAAAACCAGTGGAAATTACACTCTATTTCAGTTTGATGTGAATCTTAAATCAACCTCAGTTGATACAGAAACCTGTGCTTAACAAAGCAGCTGAGGGTGACAGGAAGAGCAGCACAAATCAAAGGAAAGAAAGTGTAAACTAACTTCTCACTAAATAGAAATAACCAAAATAAAGTAGCCCCCAAAATCACATAGAGTCTCCTCACTACAGCCTCCCCTTCACCCTCCAGAAGGCAGAGTAAGTGCCAAGAGACAGACCCCTCCTCGGCCAGCCCCAGGGACAGTTGACCAGAAGAAACCTCTCCAGTCTGGGTCCTCGAAGATGTAGGGCAGGATACGGGTGAGGAGGCGGCAGCAGTTCAAGACGATCTGTCTCTCCTTCTCCGTGTGGCTGCCGCTCTCTGCTCCCTGCACCAGCTTTTCCACAGCCTGAAGAAAACAAAGCCAAGGCAGGTAGCATTAGCCTGGACAGAAGTTAGCAAGAGTTGGGCAGGTCTGTCCTGATGGTGACACCTCACAGAGTTCTTGGAGCCCACTGTCTCCCAGGTCAATGGTACAGGCACTGTTGCTGCTTGGAACACTGCAGAAACAGGGTTAATGACCGTCAGCAGACCTCTTGACTTTCTACTGTCCCACTACAGGGAACCTCACATGCCAGAGCTAATCCATGCAGCACACATGTTGTGCCACGTGAGACTGAGAGCTCCTTCCAGCCCTGCTCCATGACACCACACACTGCAAAGAGCAGATCAGATTAATCAGCCCCATCAGGTAGCCAAGAGGCAGGCAGAGCCATGGCAGCAGCCCTGTGCTGCACGGCGTGAGGGAGCTGCCACAGAGAGACACCAAGGCTGTCAGATCTGTACGTGCTGTTATGATTACAGCAAAGATCTCTCCTGACTCAGGAGGTGGGAGCTAAGATGCTGCCTGTGAATATTAAGTGCATAGATAAGGCCTCCAACAGAGTCTGTCAGGTTTCTGCTGCAGAGGGGGGTGGTAGGCTAGGTTTCCCCTGCTCACCCTGCAAACAAGAGAGGACAGAGCTTCTGGGCTGAGTCTCTGCAGTCCATCCAATCTCTACTGAAACAGCCCAACTGGGTTTTTCAGAATAGGATGAGAGTCTTGCCAGGCAGCAACCACAGCCCTGGGAGCTGCAGCAGGAGGTTTTACCCACAGGTAGAAAAGGGCAGCTCCTTCCCCCAGCAGCTGCACCCACTGGCTCTTAATCCCTGATCCCAAGGGGAATCAGAAGAAGAATGAAAGTCAAAACATTTAGCAAGGATTTGCCTAATTGCTTTTTAATTCATGAGGTCATGTGTCCTGCTTATTTTCCTAGCAGACTGTCTGGGTCACTGGCTCTGCTGGCCTGCGTCACTGCCTTAATGGTATTTAAATGCTGCTTGTGCATCCTCAGTCTGTCCACATGCTGCTCTGGGACTGAGTTTAGCTGTTTTTTCAGGCACATTTACAACTCTGTAGAGCCCAAGTCTCCAGCCATGGCTGCAAATGACATTTCAGCCATGCTGTTGCGCTCTCCAGCCTTGCTAAATCTGATGGCACATAGCACAGCTCAGGGCCCTCAGCCTGGAAAAATGACTGCAAGAGTCTGCAGGCACCTCTGGCTCTGATATCCTCCCTGGCTAAACAGCCCTGCAACGACCAGATCTCCCAACATACCTGTTTCCAGCAGGGAGAACAGCCTTGGTTTTGGGGGAAAGAGGACACAGTCAGAGGGGTTATACAGTCAGTACAGGTCTCCTCAGCCCCTCTCTACTCCCAAGCTGCTAATTGCCAGGAGGCAGCACCAGGGAAGAACCATTCAGTTTTTCCCTCATGTTTGCATTTTTTTTTCTTCAAGTATCCACCACAGGCATCTGTCTGAGGTACTTTCAGTATGATTCAGTAGGTCTCATTCACATTTTATAGAGCAGAAAAGAGAAACAGGATGACAACAACTATTTACAACTGAGAAAACACCATTCCAAATGTTTCCAATACTACAAATTCAAGGCTACTCTTTGCATGACTCAAATCAGAAACATTATTAACACCTGCACTTTTCCAGGCAGAATAAGTCCCAGGCTGTTGTTCACCAGCTTGACAATTTGCCAAACTTGGCAGGGTAGGAAATGTGAATCAATGTCCCTCGTGCTCCATACAAGAACTTGGCAACACCAGAAGCAGCATCAGGGATGTTCTGATGACACAGCAGAAGGAAAAAAAGTCTTAAGATCTCCCTCAAACTTCACCCAGGCATTTATACAGTGATGATCTCCACATCCCTCTGGGATCTGTCAGCTTGAAGCCAGACTGATGCATGGTGAGGAGAAATTAAATGCAGACAAGGAATTGGATTAACCAGCCTTTCCAAATATGCAGCCTTGGTACAAAGTCCCCTGAGAAGGAAGCAGTTTATGCAGCAGGCACAAGCCAAAAGGGCAGAGTGAAACACAGTAAAGGGACAAGAGGAAAAAGGCTCCAAAATGAGCAAATGCCACCTGTGGTCTGGGATACACCAAAGGGAAGGGCTCAGAGTTACCATCAGGAGAAGAGAGGACAAGCAAGCACACCACATGGTACAAGGAAATAACATATTAGCCCGTGGGAGCCACAGGGCTGTTGATCCAGGGACACCCCTCTATTAGCACAGCACCAAGGAACAGGACAGCACCAACCTTACCTTGTAGCACAAAGTTGCCAAGTTTGAAGGTGATTCTTCTCGCACTGCTCGGATCTCTGCAGCTGGTACAAGAGCAAAGACATCCTGCACTGAAGTGGCTGTGTCTGCCCAAAACTGGTCCCAAAAAGCATCATCTGTTGCCTCCACAGGCTGTGGAAAGACAAACATTGTTACAGATACAGAACTGCCCATACTGTGAGGTCCAAACATCAGTGATTAACATCTATCTGGCTTGGTGACAGGACCAGGCACAGAAGAGGTTCAATAAAACATACTGGCACTGGTTTTGTACCTCAGCCTCTTTATACCAGGGCTTTGTCTGGTTTGATCTCCCAAACAGAGCAGTCCCTCAGCAAGGGGGTGAGCAGCCCTGTACGTATGTGACCAACCACAGCAGACTCAAGACTCCCCAAGTCTTTCAGGGAGTCACAAAATACATGAGGCCTCCTGCTTGTCTTCCCCCTAAGGAGTACATTACAACATCTTTACCAACACATGTGGGCCAGGATGCTCTCATGCCCCCTGTCACCTTTAGAGCAAACCAAGGGTACCCAGAGTATGCACTGGAATTACTTATACTGTAATCAAAAGTCTTGAGAAAGCAATCAAAGACATCTCACATTAGGGCATGAATAGACCCACAGAACTGACAGACCCACCTCAAAGCACTTACAGATGCAAGGGAATCGATTTTTCCAAATCAAATATTTATAGGGAACTGGACTCAGTGCAGCTGGTCACTGCCAAGGCTTTGTTCTTAAAAAGCTCTAAGTGTGCAACTCAAAGGAGATGGAAGGAGGAGACTGATACACCAAAAAAAGCAATCCATTTCAGACCTGTGGTTTGAGAAGCCAACTCCCCTGCCTAGGAACACCCTCCCATTATCTTCTCTGGCTCTGCAGGTACAGACAACCTTCTCCTTTACAAGCACTGTTGCCCCTTTTCCACAGTGAGTATTGTCCTCAAGCCCACCCTGAAACCCCACTGCCAGGGACACAGGCCCAAAGGACAGTCTGTTTCTGTTTGCCAGGCTGCAGCTGGAAAGACAGCTCAGGACAGGGCTGCAAAATTCCAATGTTACTTCCCTCAGCTTCCTCCTGACAGCGTGGCACCTACTTAGAAATTGAAACAACAATGATGACAACCTTGGTGTCAGGTTATATGTGGCTGAAGAGAAAAGACTGGACCCTGCTTTGCCCTTTATGGCTTTGTAGAGCCAGAGAGCAGTGCTGGCCACCCCAGGTGACAGAGGCTCAGACACACAGGGCCAGTGATGCCTCCCACTCTGTGGAAGTGTGGAGATAACCTGCCACTACCCCCAAGAGCTGACAATGCCAGCACTGTTTGTTGAACATGAAGGCATCTCCATTACACAACATCTCAGGCATCCAAAGCCTGGGAGCTCTGAATGATCGGGAAAGACTTAACTTTTCAGCTAGTCTAAAACTGAGCACAGCTCTTCCCATCTAAATGCCAACAATGCCAGGAGACAAGGATCCCTAAACAAGGCTGGGAGGGCCCAAGGGTCCAGCTTTAGGGTTGGGATAAATACACACCTATTTACACCAAGTAGCATGAAACAGATGGATCCACAATTGCAGTCCAAAGAGGAAAATGGAAGCTTTTCCAGAGGAGTTTCCCAGCCATACCAAGGCATGGTGGCATGCTCAGCAGGTCAGGAGATCCATCTGCCAGAGCAATCCCAGCTCAAGGCAAGGGAAACCTCCTGCTTGCAACTTGCACCAGCTCTAAAGCACCAGCAGCCCTCTCTAACTGTGCTAATCAGCATCGTGGGCGAGTCTACCATGTCAGATGGAAAAAGGGCAAAAATATGAATGTGTGTTTAACTTAAACAATTCCTTCCCACTCCCAGCTCTGCTGCAGTAGGCAGAAAACTTGCCCAGCTCCCTGCTATTTCTAAACACAGGCAAGATGTGTCTCTGGGGAGGACAGCTCATTCACAGCTCCGACATGAGCAGTGCTGCCTTTCCACCTTTGCTGTCACCTCCTGAATTAACAGCCACAGCCTTCCAGCAGGTGATGTGTCACTACCACCCAAAGGCCACAAAGTGAGTGGGACAGGCTGGCCTCCCACAAACTGGTATAGCAGGTTACTGCCCTGCAGCCCTGTGCTGTAGAGGCAGCTCATTGCTTGTCCTGGTCCTTCCAGCCATGCAATGAATCAGCACAAGTGACTCTCCAGTCTTTAAAAACTAAACCATAAAACACCCACATGTTTAGGCACCTTCTTAAACTCTGCTCCAGTGCTCATAACCCATCAATTTGATCACTTGGCTACCACAGCAAGTTCCAACCAAAGCTCTTCCCAAGGGAAGAGCAACTTTTTCCAAAATGGTTCAAGATCACAGCTCCTCAGAAGGGATCCATAGGAACAGCCAAGTGTTTACAGCCTGACTTTCAGCTTCCTGAGTGTGTGAAGGAGCTGTGCTCTCTGTCACCAGGCCACAAAATGCTTAAATGGAAGCAAAGCCAGTTTGCAAATCTCATTTCTAATTACATGCCTCAAAAAGAGCCAAGTATCTGGAAATCTGATCTATATAATGCATGAACCATTCTACACTTCCTACACCCCCCATAACCGCATGTTTCAGTGCCACATGTCCCTGCTGGCTGCCTGCCACAGCCACTCCCACCGGCAGCAGGGAGCAGCAATCCCTGCTAATTGCAGATCATGCATAAGTAATGGATTCACTCTCATCTACAGGGGAAGGAGAAAACCATTTCCCTCCAGCAGACACAGATCCCTCTACCTCCCTCTAGCCTGAGGCCTCCTCAGAGGTTGAGCACAGCTACTGTTTTACAGATGGCAACACAAAAGCCAAGATAGGTTGAAGAACACGGTCTCTGACTGAAATTATATTAAGATAGATAAGCACAGCAGCAGTTGCCCAAGCTGCAACCTTGGATGCTGCAGCCACATTAATGCCATGGCTGCCATCTTGGCAAGAAGACTATAGTAAGACACCATTTCTTTCATTTTCAATAGCTGCAGCAATTCTGCTTCTCACCTAACAGATGGTAACCCATGTACAACCCTGGGACACAGGTTCAGTACTGAGCCACTCACACCCCTGCTTGAATTAACAGTCTGGCACCACAAAGCTACCCAATCCACATAATATTCATCTCCTCGACAGAACAGTACTGGGTGTTTTTAAGCTGCCTGTATTCTGCACACAGGATCTCTGGGGATCTAAATATCAGTTTTCTCATGCTGAGCTCACCCAACAACCCAGCTCTAGCTCATAGAGAAGGGAAATACAGAGACCTAGAACAGTCTTGTTCACTAGCCACAGATATCACCACTTGGAAACATCAAGGTTAATTACAAGTGTTGCTACTGCACATGGTGCAGTGACAGATCCCACAGCACCACAGTAGCCCTGACAGTGCTTTAACCAAGAGCTCAGGAGGAGCTGGATCCTCACCAGCAACGCTATGAGCTGGGGTGCTTTGGATCCTCCAGATCAGCACAGATGTGTCCTCTCTTGGTGAGGGAGCTGCAGTACATACGTAAGTGCTTGGTGCACCAACACAGCACAGCAACCAGCTCTGCACCAGTGAGTGGTGCAATGAGAATGAGAACTTCATCATTGCTGCCAGAATCAAGGGATCAGCAGCTCAACTCTGCTCTGGAAACATGACTAGCACATCTGGAGGGCAAAGGAAGTTCCTGACCCACATGCATCCCACAACAGAGGATGCTGAAGTTATGGAGCAAACTAGTAGAGAGATGCTGCTGCCTGTACCAAACTCTGCACACCAAAGGGAAGAGATGACTGTAATGCAGAGTGGTTGCTGAGAACACAGTGGGCCAAGCTGAGGTGATGTGACATCTCAGAGTCAAGGAGAGAGGCTTTTGCCTTCAGTTCACCTAGACAAGGTGTAAAAACCTCTCACCTGCACACTGGCCAAACAAAGGCAGAACTTATCTTACCAGATACCTTCAGTTTTTGTTTCCCAACAGTTACCCATGTTGGGCTTCAGGTTCTTGAAAGCACACCCCACACATGCCGTAGGAGCCAGACATGGAAGACACTCAGCTTGCAAACATCCTGCCAGTTACTGAACAGAGAATCACAGCCCTGGAGAGGCAACCCCAGGCAAAGCAGGACACGTCACAGGAAACAGGAAAACAGAGTGGAGTTGACCACGTCCTATAAACAGGAAAAGGTCCCAAGGCACAACCTCTCCCCATTCATCAATGTCCTCAGCCTGGTGCTACCACCACCTTTGCTGTCTCATTCAGCTCCAACCCCTCACAAACCGGGACAGGGTGTATGATCTGCACCCTCCTCCCAACCAAGAGCTCTCTGCACTTACACTCTGATGTCAAATGCCTATTCCCACCAATTCCCCCCCTTCCTCCAGCCCCCATCACAGGCCTGTCCTCAAACCAATTCCAAGGTTGCTGCAAACCATAAGCAGAGAACCAGGGGGAGGAGCAGCCACTAGTCTTGCTCACCGTGTTCTCCTTTTGCTTCTTGCCAACACACCAGCTGAGGCAGCAAGGTGTTTGGGATGCTCCATTTCCTGGGACTCAACAGCAGAGTAGGTCCCTCATCCCCCACCAGGGTTTCTAGCCAGTACTACACAAGGTCAGATAATATATAACATGCTCCTTCCCACCCCAAATAAGGCAGAACTGTGGAGGGTAATGACCACAGAGCCATTCACGCAGCACTTTTCACCAAGCTCTAGACCAGGACAACCCTGCAGGGCCAGTAGAGTAGTTAGAGGCAACTCACACACCTTTGTACCACCTGCTTGTGAGCCACCATGCAAAAGAGAAGTCTGAAGACAGATCTTTTAAAATATCAGTAACTAGCAAGATTTCCTTCCTTCTGCCAAGGACAGCAGCTCCAGAGAGATTTCTGAGCTGAAATAATTTTTTCTCTAGGATCTTTGCAGTTAGCCATGCAGAACCACATGAATCTGTCACCAGTTCTCAACTACCACAGCAGAGACAGGAGTGCAAAGGAAACTGGAAAATGGGATTTGTGGAAGTCTGGCAGGAAAAGCCTAGGACAAGAGTCAGCTGGGTGAAGTGCATGTTATAGCTTTGCTTTTGAGACTACAGCTTTGCTTTTGAGCAACCTCAAAGACTTTGATACTTGATTCAAGCTTGAATACTACCAGAAACAGGCTACCAGAAACCAACCCCTCTCTAAGCACAAGATGTACTTTTATCAGGCTCAAATTAACAGCCTGCTGTTCTACTGCATTTCCACATCAAGGAAAAAGAAAGGACTGGAGTTTGTCCCTGGTGTTTGATCCTTCCTGTTTCTTTAAAAGAAGAAGCAAAGCTAACATTAAAATCTAACAAGCCAGTTCTCAAGATAAATTTCTTATCTTCCATTTGGTTGCTTCCAGCAACCATTTAACTGCCAACTGGCTGAGAAAAGAAAACGTTTCCCCAGCAGTTACACCTCCCAGCTTCAGCTCCCTGGTTTGCCACTGACTAACTGCCACACTTGCAATCTACCTTCCCCTTCACCTGTTAAGCAGGCAGCATTTTTACAGGCAATATGGGAGAGCTCTCACCTGATAAAGCACACCTGGTTTATTGTTAAAAGGGTGGGCTCTACCAATTTAAAGGTGTGCAGTGTAATGTAATATCTATGTATGATATAAAAATCCTAAAGCTCATTTTTCCATGTGTGATTATAAACATACATCTGTAGCATAAGCTAATTCCTTCCTTCTGTTAGTACTGCCCTTTTTTCATCACTGAAATTATTCTGAAGTGATTTTTCTTTTTTAATACTCTTGCACCTTTACAGTTTCTCTTTGGCAATTAAAAAAAATAAAATATATATATCAATTAAGTCAACTTCATTTGTGCCCAGAATTGGTTCTGCTTCCCAGTTCTGGGCTCTGTGTGTGCTCAAAGCATTCAAGTGTTATGCTCCTCATCAATTTATTTATTTTTTAAAAAAAATGTTCATATGAGAATGCTCATATTTTTTAATTAATGGAAGCCTGGAGATTATAAAAACTTATTTTAAAGAAAAATGTAACCTCAGTGCAACTCAGAACCTTTACTAGCAAGTGAACAGTGCTTTCTGCTCAACCACTTTCATCAGATCCTTAGGAAACACCACGCTAAGTTCAGTTTCATGTTACTGATGAATTGATGGAAACCTATTTGTCCAGCTAACTAATGTCAGAGAAGAAGGCTGCAAAAAGAAGAGACACACTGCTGAGAAAGTATATTTTGAGTTCATAGCTTTGAAATATGTGACTGTCTCCACTATTGCAGCCTGGTTTTGAGTCCGGGGCCCCAAGGACTAGGAGGTTACACAGAGGTTGCTGCTGGTAGGAGCTCAGAGGGCTCCAGAGAGCCCAGTCACGCATCCTGCACAAGCAAACACCAGTGCCCTTCTACAATATGTAAATATGGGAGTGCCAACACCCCACCCTTTTTCCACATGGCAGTTAGTCTCACCTAGACCACAAAGACACGAAATTAATCCAGCCAAGAATGAAGCTTTTTCTCCTCCCTGTATTCAGGGCTCCAGTGAACCTTTTTTTATTGCACACATCAATAAATTGGGGGGGGGAAGCACTCTCTTCTTGGCTGGCAACCTGAAGGATTGCCTCATACAGGATTTTCTTTGTGAAGAGCAGACTGAGAAGATCCCTAAAGGCTTGATTTCCACACTTCAGTCTCCCTTTACAAGCATTTTTTCCAATGGAGCAGGACAGTCCAAAGCTGAAAGCACTCTGAACTATCTGGCATCCGGAAAAGACACCACTGCAGGTTTTAAACAATGCAGATAAAAGTGATTATACATAAAGAACAAACATAATTTCTCAAAGGCTCTTCCAGCCTTACTTTCTAAGATTCATTTCCCATTCTTCACCTTGGGTTTTCACAGACTTTCTCCTGCTACCCTTTACCCCTTTGCATCCTTAACCTTTTATTCTGAATTCATTCCCCATAGCTAAATATCTTTCCACTACCATCCCCAAGTTTCCTTAGCAGCTGTTACTCCCTCATCACCAAAGGCAGCTCAGAACAGCAGCTTCCACTGTAGCTCAGAAGAACCCGAGATGCAATTTCTTAATAGAGCAAAACCCCTCTAGTCTTTTAGACAGGACAGCCTGGCAATTCCCTGCCTGTGTGCTGCTGGGCCCCCAACTCCTGACAGGAAAACTAAACCAGCTCCCAGGACATAAGCAACACCTGCCAGACCTCTAGGCAACCACCCCCTCTATACACAGCCCTGACTTTAACACCTTCTCCTCCTCAGCCTGCAGAGATAAAAGCTTTATTCCACAGGTCACAGATGGACCCTGCTGCAGCAGCAGGGGTGGCCAACAGCCCCTTCAGGCCGCGGTTACCCAGAAACAGGGCAAGATTCTCCACCGATTACTGGCGGGGGGGAGGGTGCACAGCGAAGGGGGCACTGCCAAGCCTTAGGGCGATGAGCTGTGCACACCCCGCAGCACCGCGGGCTGGGAACGCAGGACGCTGCTCAGCGAGGGGCGGGAGGTCAGTGAGGGCCTCGGTCCCGACCCGGGCCTGCTGGGCCCGGGCGCGGCCTCCCCCTCCGTAACCGCATCCCACCTCCACAGACCAGCCGACACAAGACGGGACCAGCTGGCCCTGATCCCCCCACCCCTTCCCCAGCCCTGGTGCGGGGATTGGAAGCACCTGCAGCCGCTGTCACCTGCACCCCGAGCCCGGCGGGTCCCTGTCCCCGCTCACCTCCCCGCAGCGCCGGGGATGGGGGGGGTCGTGCCGGGGGGTCCTGTCAGCGCTGCCCGAGCAGCCCCGGCCCCCTCAGCCCGCGCCTCGGGGCGGCTCCCGACATGGCGGCCCTACCTGCGTCTTGGTGGTGAGCTGGATCACCGCCTTCCTGAAGTTGAGCTTGGAGTCGGCGCTGCCCATGGCGCGGCCCGGGCAGGGCAGGGCCGGGCAGGGCCGCCCCTCACGCCTCCCCACCCCGGGCCGCCGCTGCCGCCATCTCCCCCCTTCCCCGCGCGGCTTTGCCTCCCTCCCTGCCTCCTGTCAAACCCGGCTCCGCAGCTCCCAGCCCTCCCTCCTCTCCTCCCGCAGCCCTCCCTCCGCCCACGGACACCGCTCCTCCTCCCTGCCCCAGCCTCTCCCTTTCCCATCCCCCCCCGCCACCGCTGCTCCCCTCCTGGCAGCCCCTGCTCTCCCTCCTTCCCCTCAGCTCACCCTCCTCTTCCTCCAGCCCTTCCTCGCTCTACCCTCCGCCCTGAGCTCCCCTCTGCCCCTCACCTTCCCCTTCAGCCCTTTTCTCCTCTTCTTCCCCTGCTTTTGCCTTCTCCCTCCCACCTTGCCCCCTTTTTCCCCCCCGAAGCCCCTTTGCTCGGCTGCTCTCAAGCCCCACGACGCCTCTTTGTAGCCACTGCTGGAAAACCCAGCCCCTTTCAGCAGCCTGAGCCCCAAACCTGATGGTCCAGAGATCCAGCAGGATGCTGGAAGAGCAGCCAACCCCAGCCTTTCCCCGGTCCTGGGTTGAAACGGGAGCGAGCAGGCTTTTAATAACCACCTTGTGACAAGCTCATTGCACGCGGTGGCCCATTAACCCTGATTAAATATTCTACCCACCTGTAAGGGAAAGAAGTTTTTATAACCCTGGGAAGTGGGAAGCCAGGATTTGGCCCTCCCTGAACACCTCAAAGCAGCTGTTAGAGGCCGTTCAGTGTTGCCTTTGAAGCTGTTGTCACTGTTTTCTAGACTTCAGGGGCTCTATGAACCGCCAAGTGGGTCTTTTTGGTGTCACTAAGTTACATTTCAAACGCTCAGCTCTGCAAACCTCCTTTCTTCAGAGGAAATCCTAATAATTTTGCAAAAGAAAGCAATGTGCTACCTCCCTGGCTTGGGCAGGCTGTGGGAATTCTCATGTCGTGGCCTATAACCTGTGCAGAAATCACCAGTGTTTGATGACAGCAAGTGACAGGGCAGGCCTGAGATATTCTCGTAAAACCCATAGGAAAAAAAATACCTTCACAAGAAACTGTCACTTGGCTTTTGCTGCCAAACAGCCCTGCATCCAAGCACACACCCACTCGGCACAGCTATGCTATACAGATACATTATCATGATTTATTCTTAGGAACAGAATTCACAGGCAATTATTTCACACAATTAACAGAGCAGTTCGGTTGGAATACACCTGCAATACTTACCTGGCCCAACTGCCTGACCACTTTAGGGCTGACCAAAACTTAAAGCATGTTATTAAGGCCATTGTCCAAATGCCTCTTCAACACTGACAGGCATGAGAAAATGAGAATTTTCCCATTTCTATATTAAAATTGCTTAGAAAAAAAGAAAATCTAGGAGGCAGTCAGGATTGTGTTTCTCCCAGACAACATAAGAAGGCTGGGGAAGAGCTGCTCACAGGGCACGGAATGGCAGGACACGGGGTAATGGTTTAAAGCTGGAAAAGGGCAGATTTAGGTTGGACATTAGGAAAAAGTTCTTTACTATGAGGGTGGTGGATCATGGAACAGGTTGCCTGGAGAGGTGGGGGTCCCATCCCTGGAGACATTCAGGAGTTTGATGGGGCTCTGGGCAATCTGGGCTAGTTGGAGATGTCCCTGCTGATTGTAGGGGGGTTGGAATAGATGCCCTTGAGAGGTCCCTTCCAGCCCCAGACATTCCATGATTCTATGACATCCCACCAGCCCTGCTCCCGGCTGAGCTGTCCGAGGGAGCAGGGACCCCCCAATATCAGGGGGGCAGCCCGGGTCACCCCCAGCTCGCCAGCCCCGCTCCTGCAGCCCCGCGGGCTGGGCGGAGAGGAGCAGGAGCAGGAGGAAGAGGAGGAGCAGGAGCAGGAGCAGGAGCAGGAGCAGGAGCAGGAGCAGGAGCAGGAGCAGGAGCAGGAGCAGGAGCAGGAGCAGGAGCAGGAGCAGGAGCAGGAGCAGGAGCAGGAGCAGGAGCAGGAGCAGGAG